CTAGTTCCATCTCTACATCTACTCCTTCAAAAGTTAGACCTTTTTAGAGGTGGTATATGGACTTGAGTATCTCGGCCTTCTAAACTTTCTTGTGAAACTCCGTTGAGCGATCTGCGTTGATGTTACATGAGTAGTTACATTTTGTGTGATAAAATTTGTGCTTATTAATCCGGGAAAAACTCACCCAATTTGTTGATTTGACGTGACTAGTAGGTCTGTTAATGGACCGAATTTCAATCTGAATTTGATTTAAATCTGAATCTATTTAAGCGGATATGGATCAGATTTTCAATCTATTAATTCAATCCGATTAGAATTGTCTAAATAGATTCGGATATAGATTTATATTAATCCGATACAAATAAAAATATATTATGTAAATAAATATCATACATATATTATGCTTATACCGAAAGATAAAAAAAAAATAGAGCGAATATTATAATGCATGACCCATTTTTTTTGTTTTTTAGTTTTTCTCTATTGGTGTACATGTGTTTTTTTTGTGATAATTGGATTGAATCGGATTTTTGGATCAAATATCTGAAAATTAACGGATTCAGACATAGATTAAATTTTTTAAATTCATCGAATAATCGGATCGAATCTACAAAAAACTTAATTGGATTCAGATTCAGATATAAGTCAATCCGGTCCATATTTGATTCGTTCATAAGCCTAGTGACAAGAATATGATCTAATAGTATTGTTTCTTACTATAATCATTGAGCTTCTTCGTTGAGACTTTATCACTTTATGTATCATTACATAACTTTGAACAAGGATAAAGAAAAAACCAAAAAAAAAAAAATAGCGCCAATTGATTTAGTAGTTTCAAACTTTGAATGGTTGGATGAGACAGAACCAACATCCTCTGCCCTCCTCCATAGCCAATAAATGCAAAAATTAAAAGCTCCAGCTTTGTCTCCCTTTGCTTTTTTCACGATTCGTGTAACTTCGTAGATTAATGTTCCAACTTCCTTTATTGTTGAGTAGTTGAAAATTTTAATGCAACTTCTTCAATGCCTCCATTTGCATCTCTCTCTCTCTCACACACACACACACAAAGAGTAGAAGACATGAGCTGTCTTTGAACATCACATAACCATTTACCACAACAAACACCTGCATGTCAATTCCCCCCCCCCCCCCCTCCCCTTCTTTCTTTCTTCATTCATCTTCACATTTTCCTCTGACTGAAGAAACCTCTCTGTTGTTTTCTTTGTTGATTTTTCTGATTATTTGAGGAGTGAATGTCTCAAGTTTCAATTTTTACAACCCTATTTTTTTTTCCCCTAAAAAAACACAGAAGCAGATGACCATCGAAAGATATCGAAACCTAACATGGTGGTGCCGTGGTGGTCGGTCAGAGTTATAATTAGTTATACCGGGATATTGGTGCAGTTCAATGAGAAAGTCGTTCTCGAAATGCTCTGGGTCCTACTTTTTGATTGAGCCGTGCCAATATCACGTGTTACTTCTCCCATAACTTATAGCATTCGGACCCAACAACCAATTAAAGGTAGCTGCTATTTATGTTTTACGTTTTTCCTTTAATGAAGTGCTCTTTTGGTGTTTTTGTTAAGTAAATGGTAAGGTCATCTCTAAATTTGTCCAAGTTCTTGATTATGGCTCAATGTAAGAAAACAGTTTCTGAGTATACACAGTAAAAAACAACTATATCAATGCCCCTTTCTGGCTATTTATTTATGATAAATCATCAAGGTTTTGCTAGTACCTACCTCCTCTAAAGGTCAAAAATTCGTTTTGGTGTGTTGTTTTAGTCACCGAAGAAATAAAAATATTTTGTAAATATTTTGAAAATATAATGAAAACGAACAAAAATTGAGAATTTATTTTCAAAATATTTTGAAATATACCAAAATATTTTGAATCAATAATGGAAATATGCCTGAATATCTCGAAACACCTCGGGATATTCCAAAACACCTTGAAACATTGACATTTCAATTCAATCATTGATTCGTTTTGTTTTCTTTTGAAAACAAAAATATTTCTGGTGTTTCAACCTTTTTGAAACGAAATTTTGATCCACTTCACCTCTAGGAAAGAGAGAAAATTTCTGGTTCTTCATCATGTAGCATCTGCCCTCCTATCAACCTATTGTACCATCTTATTCTATAGTTGCTTACTTGTTTTTTTTGAAGTTGCTTAGAAGTTCTTTTGGTTGTTCAGACATACTACTATTTTTAGGAGAATATTTGCAGATACATGTAGGATAGTACCTGCTACATTCATAGACATAGTTGTATCTCGTCCTAAATTTATTTGTATTCTCTTTTGGATATCATGCCGAGTTCAGATTCTTTAATATCTGGTGATGTACAAGACATAAAACAAATAGCAGATGTTGAATTTTACATCATTGTTTTCAAGCAGTTGAGGAGAGTCTCAAAGCAGCGGTAAAGTGGTTCTATTGTCATCAGATGTCATGATTCGAGTTATAAAAACAATTTTTCAGCATGAGAATGTAAAGTTGCATATATCAACCATACATATTGCAACGAGGAGCCTCAGATAAATAATGTTAAATAGCTTTGTTCTGTTCAACATAGTTTATCTCCAGCTCCTCACCTGGTAGCATAACTAGCAGCATTGGTGAAACTATGGTGGCTACAGGCTGTAGAAAAATTAACTGTATTTTTAGTTTTTGACAACCTAGGAGTCATCTTGTGTAATATTATTTGTTAGACACCAGAGAAATGAAACTACATAAAGAAAAACCAGGTTTTGAATCATTCAGTATTATGCAAGTTGATCATAAGATATCCAATCTAGAAAAGAGAGCAAAAAAAAAAAAAAAGCATACCTTCATCATCATCATGTCATTTCTGAAATGGTTCGTTGCGAAAATATATCAAGAAGAGAAAGTGCAGAAAAGGCCTAAAAAATTATTGGTTATATTATGAGCCCAATGTCTACTGGATACAATTTAGCGCTCCAAGTGGTAAAAACTGCGTAGTGATGCCACTGCTTGCGTTGGCTGCTTTGGCAGTCAGGCTTCTCTACTAAAATGGAGAAGGTTTGCATAGCAAGGCCTCTCTCTCTCTCTCTCTCTCTCTCTCTCTCTCTCTCTCTCTAACTCTTTCCCTCTATATATGATATGTATTCTCTGTACTCGTGTAAATGAAACAGATTACTAGCACAAGTGCTCAACATTATCACCTTCCTGAGTTTGGAGGAATTGCTAGTCGATTCTCAAAAGGCAGCAGTCCACACAGCATTCTCACCTTCACCGCATCGCTGATGGACCTCTTTAATCCTCTCAGCAGACCTGCAAATCCCACTGCAACTCCAGTCAAATGAAGCAACACAGATGTTGCCCGCCTGTGCCTTCCACTCGCAATCTGCTGTGACAAGTTGCATCAAACTCACAAAATATGTCTTTGCAGTTCCTACTCAGTATGTGACAAATTGTCATATATGGGTTTATCTTCGCTCCACGCACCCCAACTTGAAGTGGTATGAGCTACATTCTGGTTGCAGTCCATGTCATGATGTATGAGGATTTTCTTTTTGTAAGGTATCATGAAGTATGAGTTAGTAAGGTAGATGACAATCTTTGTGCCATGACAACCATAGCCTCAATCCCCTGACAACAAGAGATAGTTTTGCAGAACTGAAGCGAAACGGTTTTAGAGGAAGACCCCATAGTTGGGTTAAAAGCTTTGCTGAGTTGAGCAGCTCAAGTGATCCTTCCTTTTTCCACTAGGTTCTAAGTTTACTTCCAAGGTCTGTGTGATAAATCATACCAATTTTCCAAAGTAGAATAAATCATATGCCGTTTTTTAGATCAACTCAAATTCAGAAGGTTTCCATTTTCCCTATCGAATACAACAAAACAGGAATAGCATGGTAATTATTTTCAACTTCAAGTTTACCTGGTGGGGTTCCACAACATAATCTCCGATCATCAATATGCTGCACATCGAGTCCAATAAACCAAGATCCCAAAGATACATCCTCGTTAGCATACTTGTGCAGTACATGCCTGAAACAATTACAAAAACAAAATGACATGAGTGCAGTGAGACAGTGTCAAGCAACGATAGTATCCCGATAATAGCTTATCCTCTTAATTAACCTCAAATAAAAAATGAAACTTAACTGGTTTATTGAAATATAACTAGCCAAATCTTTTGAAATGGCATATAACTGTCCTGTAGCGTGACGGAAATACTTGTTTCCTGCCTCCCCAAACTTCCAATATTCTGGTTCATGGTATCTCACTCCTCTGTTCCATGGAATAAAAGTAAAGATAGTATAAGCCAAAGCAGGTTCTCAATATTTAGTTTAGGGTAAATTACAATTTATACCTTAAAGGATGTACCTAATTCCTATCTGATCCTTGAAATTCCAATTGCAGCAATTAAAACTTTAGAGTTTTAATTGAGTTTCAATTTAGTTCCAACATCAAAATTCACGAACTATTTGATCCTTGAAATTCCAATTGCAGCAATCAAATCCTTAGAGTTTTAATTGAGTTTCAAATTAGTTCCAACATCAAAATTCACCAATTTATTATGACAAAATAGTCTTTTGTGACCGACACATGACTTGAGTATTTGTCTAGTGAACAATTTGTTATGTATAGGCTAAAAAACCTTACTTTATTTCATCCGATTTTGAGGAAACATAAGGATAACAAACCCAAAAAAAATAATATAGAGTGAGAATTTGAGAAATATAGGGAGATAGAGAGATATGTTTTGTTGGACAAATATACCCTTATGGGCAAGTCCTGCAACGTCTTTTTATCAGAACAAATTTAATAGATCTAGATAGAATGACTGAATTAAACTCAGTTAAAACTTGATGGATGTAATTATATAGACATTAGGTGCATACTTTAAGGGTGTAAACTGTAAATTACCCTTTAGTTTCGCGTAACAATTTAAGAAAAAAATGACTTACTTTTGAGCAAGGACTGGACCAGATTTCATGCATCCAATATATACCCGTGGTTTTCTCCGATATCTTGCTAAAGTTTCTCCCAGTGTGGCTGCAATAGAAATTAAAATTACTTTGGACTTGACAAAAGGAAAATAATTTATAAACAAGCAATCCAATGATATGACCACTAAGCAGAAAACTGGAGGTGTTAGACATATTCTCTCTCTCACGAGAAACAACTATTATCAAATATGGATAAGAACTTAGATGAACACAGACATTGACATTTCCTGATGGGGTCGGTATTTGCAAGGTGTAGCAAATTGAGCGTGTTTTGAATCAAAGTCTTGGAACTTAAGCCTGGGAATGTCAATGTAGAAATATACTAATTACCTATATTCACATGAACATCATCGTCAACTTTGATATAGAATTCTGCATCCCATAAAGCAACAGCAGCTGCAAAATATGTCTTTGTCTTGGCTGACAATTCAAGGTACCCCTCAACATGATCCTGCTCATGAACTCAAACATGTTAACCTTTATTGTACAGAAATAAAAAATAGCACTGTCCATTGCCACGGTGTACAATAGAACTGGAAAAGAACAGGATACGAGTATCACCAGTCTCAAAATATCACCATGCATTTTGTCCTCTGCTTCAATAGCTCTGTCCAATATACCACCAACTGTGGCACTGGTAATAAAAAAAAAATACCAATTCATTATTTTAATCAGCATTTGTGAGCAGTTGTGAAGTCTATGTAACCCATACTTTCATTATTTAAATGGACCTGAGATTCAATAAAATTATTTTCTAGCAATAGACATCATCATGTAAAAGCATTCTGCAAGAGATGGCAACTTTCAGCCCATAAGCCCAACTGCTTGACATGAAAGAATTCCGAGTGAACTCCAAGTAGGCTTATATGTTTTGGTGCACAAATAGCTTAGAGAGGCATGTGGAAGACTGTTTTGTACAAACACTTGATGAAATCAGACATTGAAAGGGAATTAGAACCCACCCATGACCAATGACAAAGCGTACAATAATCCCCTTCTCTTCCTCCAACTTTTTCCGCTTCTCTCCTATTTTCAGTTTTCCAGATAATCAAATATAGGATATCAGTTCCAAACAAGCAACTAAATGGATGGAGTATCTATCGTTGGAGAAAAAAAAAACGATGGATCATTTAATGAACCTTGTGGCATCCAGGTAGCACGAACAGAATCTCTTCTTTTTCGGCTGCTAAAAGCAGTGTTGACTCCTATAACCATAAAATATTTCCTTTTCCCAGATGAACCAGTGTTCATATCTTCTGACAGAGGAGAACCACTAAGGATAGACTCTTGTGCTGCCCTTGCAGCAGCCAATTCCATCTCTAAATTTGAAATAGTTTTATCCAATGTCCTACATCCAATGTGCAATGATGTTATGCATTCAGGATAACCAGAGATCAAATAAAGAGACCAACCATGGGCAATTTATATGGAAAATAAAGAACAAGCAAAACTCACTGTATGGCATGATGAGTCCTAGACACTTCGCCAAAAATATCTTTGGATTTGCGCGTAACATCCTTGTTATACAATTAGAGGGAACCATCCAATCAGATTAACATGTATGATTGGTAAAGAGGAACACAAAGGAAAGAAAAAAAATTGAACTAAAAGTGGAAAAAAAAACAGTGCTTGTAGTGCTGTCCACATGAACAATAAGTAGCATTATTAAACAAAATTAACAGAAGAGTGGAGATACTTACAATATTTGGATCACAACCTTCTGAAACTAACTTTAACCTGTCAGCTTCTACTGCAGTGGTCCTTGTCATACCTTTAGATTCAGGCACCATCCACATTCTGTTAACAATTGTTTTTAGTTACTATAAACCCACCATATTTCAAAAATTAGTAGCCTCAACAATCATTTTAGCAATGCCTTATCCAATTACATTTCGAACAAGAAAAATTATTGTAAGTATACCAAGATTGCAAATAAAGCCTTGAATTCTAAGATTGCTAAACAACAGCAGAATTGCAGTCAAGACAATTGCACAATCCGTTGCCCGGTACAAAGTTTTAAAGAAAAAAAAATGTACTGGTAGTTCTTTGGTGGGAATAAAATCTCAAAAGGGATTATACAGTTAGAGCTACCAGTAGAGAAATAAGGATATAGATTATTGCAGATGTCAGGGGCATTGCAGCCCATTAATAACGATATGGGCATGAAAACGTAGTTAAACGATAAATATAAATTTAATAACACTATGCAGATTATGGCATCAGAAGCTGAGGCACACTTTAAATGATGACAATCTATTGGCAGAAAATTGTGTCTAAGTAGTTAAAACTAGGCAAATTTCAATTAACAGCCAAATTTAAACAGGAAAAAAGGGAAACATACTCAACTCAATAAAACCTTGTCCCAACTTGTTTGCTGTAGACTATATAAATCCTATACTTTCATTGTGGTCTATCAGGGACATATTTTCTGTTATATCACAAGTTTTCATATGATTTTTTTTACTATTTTATTCACTGTTAATTTTGGTTTAAAACATATATATGATTTAGAAGGGAAATATGATAAGAAAAAAACATATATGATCGGCATCCCTACCAAGAATACCAATTTAGATCTATTAACCTTTACCAGCAAGTGGGCAAATTTGATATAAAGGAATCATAACAAAATGCAATAAACAGAAAGAAGACAGAGAGAGAGAGAGAGACCCAGATTCCATATGTCAAAAATTCAAGAAACAAAATTCTTGAAATTATTTACTACTGTTTCATCACAGAGCTCATACCCAATTCACAAAAATTCCAAAATTAACAGTTAATGATGAAAATTACAACAGAATGCCATTATGGGAAAGTAATTACTGAAAGTTCAAGAAAAACAAGAACTTGTGATGGGATAATACCGATTAGTGAAGAGCATTCCTACACAAAAGCTTCCAAGACAAAGCAAAAGAGACCATTTTTTAGGTATGACACTTCTTGCGGCTGGCTCTCCTCTGCTCTTGACAGACATTTCCTACACAATTTTCTTTTCTCTCTCACTCAACCAACAGCTTCGTTAACAAAAGCCCATAAGCAATATAGAGATAACAAACCGCATCAAGGACAACAAGAAGCAAACAAAGACCAAGTACTCCGAATTTACCAACAGAACCAATTTGAAACTCAGTTTTTGCCTTTAGTAACAAAAATTGAGGAAGGTAGATAGATAAAGAAAGTCAGTTGTTTCTTCTAATTTGTTCCTTTCTTCTTGCCTTTTCATGGTACTTGTTCCCTCTCTCTGCGTCTCTCTCTCTCTCTCTCTCTCTCTCAATATTCTGTATCTGTTTCTCTCTCTCACTACACTTAGCAGGGAAGGGACGTCGAACAGAAGTGAGAAGACCCACTAACGGCCGTCCTCTTATACCAAATTTACCAAACGGTCCTTATCAGACCTTCTTTATTAAAATGGTCTTTGTAACTGTAACAGCGACATCAATGCTCCCTTTACACTCTCTTGAATGTCTGATTGTTAACTCAAGGGCTTAGGTACGACCACCCTCTAGTGTGGTCCAGGGTAGTACCGATCCACACTATGAAGTTAGAGGTTCTACCCGAGTTCATATCAAGGCTCGATGATAGGTCACTGTGCTAACTTAGTTGTATTTGTTTTTGAAAGGTGTAACAGACGTGGCAGATTCTCATGTTTCCACCGGTGAAGTACTATCTTAGTGATCTCCAAACGTTTTTTTTTATACTTAATCCCATTTTTGTGACTAAAAAAAAAAAAGATAAGAACATCTCCAACTTAAGCTTAAATTTAGACTTAAATTTAAATTTGAGTTCAAAAAATTTGTTCTAACCTTTGACTCAATTTTTGAACTTGTATATTGGTGTCTTTTACGTCCAATCAAACTTTTTATTCAAACGTTAATTTAAATTTTAATAAAAATTTGAGTTACGGTTAGAGATGCTCTAAAATATGAGTTATAAATTTAAATATTTTAAATTTAAATTTTGATAATTTTTTTGAGTCAAGTTATTAGAGATTTATTCTTCATGAATAGTCTAATCCCGACAAAAATGCTCTATTTTTTTTATCGAATCAGAAAAAAAAATTAATACATTGTACATAAATTGACCCAACCATCTTCACCTTAAATCAAAAGTATATTATCCCAATCTGCTCAAATTTGCAATTATGTGCTATCTCTGGTCGTTGGCATAACCTAATAATTTTCTAACAATGGGTTGAGTTGACTAATTAGGCTGAACCGTCTAATAAAGCAGGTCAATAATTATTAGACCACAACTCTTTAATTATTCTAACTATAATAAGCTCTTCTTGCCAAACTATCTCCAAGAGTTGTTGAGATCCATTCTAATAAATTGTATCACAATATGCCCGACTAAATCATTATCATGATACCATAACGTTTTCCTTGCATGTTTTCAGAAGCTAGACAGTTGTCAGATGATGTCCACCTGACAAGAGATCACATGGAAGTATGGATACCTGATGTTGAAAGTATGTCCCAACTTCAATTCCCACCATACACTAATAAGACTCTTCTCCCGCACTACAATGCATTATTATTTAAAGTAATGTAATATTAACTATATTTTGAGACTAAATCAAAAGTTCAAATGACTAGTGTGTCATTTTTAGAAGAAATTTAACTCGTTTTGTCATATTTTCCTAAAATAAAAAAAAAAAAAAGGGGGTTAAAAATTGAACTTGGGTGAGGTTGACTTGAAGTCCTCCGGATACACAAGCATCTAACATTGAAGTGACATCATAGAAATTGTGGAGAGAAAATGGGAGTTGTATCTACAAGCTGCAAAAGTACAACAATGTAGTGCATATTCCACCCCAAAAGCATCTTTTGGTGAAAGCTTTCCCCCCCAAAAAACAGAAAGAAAAAAAAAAGTATCTTTTGGCCGGTTGACAATCCAGTCCAAGTCTTGGTAAGGATTGTATTACCCAAAAACTGCTTTACATCTATATTTTTCTCATTATATAATTTTGTATTATTTTATGATTTTTTGGGCTAATGATTATAAATTACTAGTAATTGTCCGTGCCTGAAGGCACGGCGTAGCAAAAAATTAAATTAAAACTCAAAGAATACTACATTACCTAAATACTATTTACAACCTAAAACAATCTGTCAATTTAAAATCAAGGTAGTTCATACTATTATTCAAAAATTTCGGCAAAATTTTCTCTAAATATAGGAACCCATAAAAATTTTAAACTATCTACAGAATTTACAATCATACATAACAATTATTATAATTCACTATACCACCACAATAATAATCAATACATACCCATCATTAACATATATCCAACCACCAAAACATCAAGCTAATTCCTACTAATTTCAAGAAATTTCGGCAAAATTTCCTCTAAAAATAGAAGCCCAAAAAAATCTGAACCTATATACAAAACTTACAACCATCAATACATACCCAACCACCATATCACCACAATCATCATAATATATCATATCACCACAAGCATCAATACACATCCAACCACCAAAATTACCATCATTTTATACCAAAAATCATCATAACCATGTACAATTAGTTCACTCTAAAAAAGACGGAACACAAAAAATACATATATGCACAAATAAAGAAACACCTTCAACTTCATATTGACATCCTTCCATGTATACTTGAAAATATTTGAAATATAAAAATTATCAAAATATTTGAGGCAAAATAAAACAATTGTAAATCCGAAACATAAAACCCCTTAATTTTAGAAAGTAAATAAATCAGCATGTTCTAAGCATTGGCATAATGATACATTATTAAAATGACATTTCGTCAGCTTTGTTTGTATCGAATGCCAAAATTCTCGCCACACGAACTACATCGCTTTGATTTCATGTTTAAGGGCATCCAATCCAAAATCATTGGGCCATGATGGGAGAGACTCATCAGAAACATAAGTTAGTGTTACTGCAGTGAAATATGAGGGAACAACCACAAGAGTAGAATTTCCCAAGGGCCATTGATGGGTAGATGCACTACTAATATACTAAAGTACAGTGAATTAAATGATACGTTGAGAATAATATAGCTAAACGCATGCTGTTTACAAACTACAGATGAATATTCTGCTATGTATCACATTCAGTGGCTAGGCAGTTAGCCACAGTTGTAGACCTCATGGTTGTCTACACTCAAAGATCTTTAGTGTTGTAATGAAAAAAAAAAAAACTGGAATCTCAGGCCTTCCACAAGAGCAAGCTATTACAGTAATTTCCAGCTTCAAAATCATGATCTCATAATATCTCCCACGAAATAAAGAAACAAATATAGTTATTTGGAAAATAAAATGAGAAAATGCAACAGAAAAATATTGGCATCTATACCTATATTTAACATAGAAATCCGCATCCCACAAAGCAACAACTGTAGTAAAAAAAGACTTCGTCTTGGCCGACAGTTCAAGGTACCCCTCAATGTGTTCCTGCACGCATCACATTTACATAAGGTTCAGTAGGTTTGCTTCCCAGAATAACATATATTAGGAGTAAGCATCCATTTCACCTATGCAGGTGGGCATAGGAGTGGGCATACTCCCCCTTCCCCATGGTGGGAGGTGGGCATGATTAATTTTTGTCCAATGCAGATAACAAAAAAGTGAAAGAGACACATGATACAATGACAATACCAGCCTCAGAAAGTCTCCATGCTTCCTGTCCTCTGCTTCAATAGCCCTATCAAGAATACTGCCTGCTGTACACAATTCATCCATCATAAGTTGCATTGGCAAGAAATATATGGATGTAGTTATCCACATTAACATAGTAATAAATCTTTATCTTCAAACACTATGGTTTAAAGCTCTAAAAATTGAGTAAAACAGGGAATCTTAATAAAATAGATTTTCAAATAGATCTATTACAAGCATTAACTAAGTGTTTCCCTGTCAAAAGCAACCTCAACCAAAAAAAATAAAAGGATGAAAAAACCCTTTCTTTAGTCTAAATTAAGGAAACAATATAATATTTCAAATCAACATTAAACTATACTATGAAGGAATGGAACATTAAACTATACTTATCAATTTTCTCATTATTCCTTCTATCTCCATCATCAATTCTTTTGTCCTGATTCAAAGTGGTTTTGAATTATATTCACCAGGTAGTATCAATTTCTAAATTTGCCACCCTCATCAACAGCTAGATTGGGCATTAAGTCTAAAATTCAGCAACATCCAACACGTACCACAAAGGGAAAAAAACTGTTGCTTCTATTATTCAGCCCAATTCAAACAACAGTCACCCCAACTTGAATTGGACCAAAAGTAAGTAATCTAAAGCTTCCATCTTTCTGTTAATGTGGTTAACATTAACAGAATTCGTTAAAATTCGGAAATTCAGCAATGATTTTACAGAATATGCACCACCCAAAAGCTTTTCATTATTTTCCAAAATAGCAAAACTTCACTTCAGGTCCTCGCAAATCGCATCCAAACACTAACCCCCATAAAGCAATTTTTTTCAACTTTTCCACAACCAGAAACCCAGGAACCTCAACACTACACTCGATCCAAAAACCCAAATTGGAACCCATTTCAAGCACCAACCATTTCTCTAGCAGAAATGAAAATGTTTTCAAGCACTCGGTTTCTGTAGCTTTCTGCAATCAAAATGTTTTCCAATCTTTGAGCAGAAATGATCATTTTCGACTTCAGCTAGAGAGAGAGGTGGGTATGTTTAATTTGCTGTGGGTCGTGAAAGGGGGAGAGGGAGGTACCTGGGCTGAGCTTGGTGAGCCGTTGTGTGCCGCTGTGTGCCGCTGTGTTGAACGCCGTTGGTGTCGCTGCTGTGTTGATCGCCACTGTGTGCCGTTGCTGAGCCGGTGTCGCTGCTGCTGAGCCGTTGTGAGAAGGGTGTGGGTAGAGGGGTAAGGGGTCTGGGTTGCTGTCTGGGGTGAGGCATGGCAGAGGAAATGGGTATGTAGGGAAATGGGTGAGGCATGGCGGGAGACAGAGAGTAGCTGTGTAGGGGAATGGGTTTGATTTGAGTAACTGTAGGCGTGTGGATAAAAATGGGCGGGATTTTTTTTTTGGGTTGAGATGCATTGCAAGCCATTGGATTGAAATGGAAGAAATAAGATGAAAATGTGGGCCTTTGAATTAAAAGTGGATTTAATCTGAGCCGTTCTTATGCTTTTCCAAATAAATTAAATTTTAAAGTAGAAAAAAATTCAAAATGAGTCCTATTTTATTAGTAAAGATTTAATTCAAAATTTATGATCGAGATTAATAAAGGCATGACATCAACATTGCTTTACTCCAAGCCCAATTACATATTGGTCATTTCTTATTTAGGTAGAGATTTTTATACACGCATGCATGGTTGACTCAATTGATAGACTTGTGATATGAGATTTATATGAGTAACGCTTTACAACTCAAATAAAAATAATAAAGATACAATTCAAATGCATATCATATTTTAGATATGTGAATTATATTAATTTTTCAGTAAGACATACTCATCTAACACTCATTCAAAAAATAATATATATTTCGATTATAATTTTTGGATTTCATTTGAGTTATTTAACATTTTTCGATATTTTTATAGATCAATAGACATAAAATTTTTGTTATTATATAAAGGCAAGTTTAATTATTCTTCATGGGGAACCCATGTGTTGATGTCATTGTGGGTAGAGCATGGATGTGGATGCGAGATACCCGGAACACACAAACATAAGAGTTAAATTACAACATGTGCCATTTAACTTATGGTCATGTTGCAATCAAATCCCTTAGGTTTTACTAATTTGAACAATTTGTCCTTATACTTTGAACATAGCTCTCCACCGTGCAATTAAATCCATTAACTCTCCACCGTCAAAACTAACAAAAATATCTCACAAATATTTCATCCCTACCTTCAAAGGCTCAGCCAGCAACCCACTTAGCTCCTTCGCCAACAAACCTAACTCTTCGCATACCTTTTGCATTAGAGGTGACAAATGAGTGAATTGAATTGGTTATGAGTTGAATTAAATTAGATTGGGCTAACATAAATTCAATATATTTTTCACTCATGTAATAAATGGGTTATAATGGGTTAGGTTAAATTAAATTGGGTTAAAATAAATTCAATCTATTTTTCACTCACGTAGTAAATGAGTTATAATAGGTTAGGTATATAACGGATTGTATTAAATCGATTAACCCTTAAAATAATTAAAATTCTTAATAAACACATTAGTATATCAAAACACACACACATATATTAGTAGTACACCAAAATACAAACATACACACTAATACACTAAAATATATACAAATTAATACACTAAAATACACCGAAAATACACACATATACTAGCACAAAAACTAAAAACACATTTAATAAAAAAAAATACACACACACACACACACAAAATGGGTCGGGGTCGATTGTGGGCTATGGGTTGGTCCGTGAGTCGAGGGTCATGGGTTGACTCATGACTATGGATCAACCCATGGGTCATGAGACACAAGTCGTGAGTCGACCCATGGGACACGGTTCGACTCCATGGGGTCATGGGTGGTGTATTAGTGTGTCTGTTTTTAGTGTATTAGTGTGTATGTTTTGGTGTATTAGTGTATATGTGTGTATTTTTTAGTGTGATAGTGTGTGTATTTTTTGGTATATTAATATATTTATTTAATTTTATTACTTGTGTTATTTAATAAAATAAATAAATATTCAACCCAATGAGTATCAATTTATAATCCATATTAACCCTCTTAATTAAAATGAATTATATTATCCAACTCATTTAAAACTCATATTAATTAATATAAGTACACAACTCATTTATTTATGGACGGGTTAAACGGATTAATGAGTAATAAGTTAAGATTGTCAAATCTAGCAATGACCCTCCCGACTAGCAGCTCACTGACATAATACCCCAAAATCTTCTTGTTCACTGACTATACTACCTCCCATACACTAGCGAACATGAATGCGCGTACACATAAAAACACAAACGTACGCACACATTTTCTCCTCGTTGTCAGAATTCTATTAGAGGTCTAAGTAGAATTAGAGTTTGTACACAGCTGCACTTTGGATTGTGATGGAAATAAAGTAAGATTGTGTGGAATTGGATCTCTATTTGGGGGGTGGGTGTCGAACCAATTGAATAAGAGCTTTGGTGTTGCTTATGGTGCTCCATTTGCAATAGTGATGGTGCTCGGTAATGGTTGGTGTATTTGCGACAAATTTGGTCTCTTTTTCATATTTTTTATTTTCTATTTGGTGGCTAATGATGGTTGGCGGTGATTGTGACAGTGACTAGAGTGTTATTTGTTGCATTGGGATTTTGCAGGTGACCTTGGTGAGTGTTGCTATTACCATTGGGTATCGTTGATTCGCACTATTATCAATTCCGATTCAATGAAGCTTTAAAGTTTTCTCATTGTCGTTGGTTCATATTTTTATGAATGGAGGGTGATTGCAAGGACAATGAGGAAAAGAGGTGGCATTGTGTGTTTGTCATTAGTGTCCTCGTGGGGGTGGCCTTGGTTGTTCAATCTGTGATGCACAACCACCGGTTGATATAGAATGAATTTGAATTTTTTTGGTTAAATTAATTGACTAAATGAATTCTCTCAAATATTGTTTTTGATTGAATTGATTTGTGATTAGAATTGTTATTGAAGTGAGTTATGGTGGTAAGTTTTTGATGATGGTTATGGTGGAAGCGGAGGTTGGGCAGTGTTGACAGGTAAGGCGGATATGTGAAAATGGTGGCAAAGTTTAGAAGGAAAGAAAGTAACAATAAAAGTTATGGTTAGAAGGGTAGTTTAGGAATTTTATATTTTTCATTCATTCAGTTAGTCAATTTAGTCTAATGAGAATTTGAGGGAATAAGAAAGTAAGGGTTTTTTTTTTGTTCAAGCTCTCACCCACGTTGAGCTCTAATGCTCTCTAGTTGATGCATATAAATTTATTCCTTCAACTTGTAATTCAAAATCATATAAAAATCAATGAAGTTATCGGCATAAAAGAATCTAATGTAGTTTTGTTAATTAAGGGGATTGACTTTTTTTTTTTCTTGGATTTCACTTAAACATTTCCCATCACTTTTGATGGGACATTTTTGGGAGAAGATATATCGGCGACACATGTCTTCGACATCGTTATGATTCCAATCAGACGTGACCACGTGTCTTCGGCGATACTCACCCCCTTTGCCCCTCTGCCGAGGAGATAGTGCTCGGAGCCGAGGGATCCCCCACATCGGCGTGATCAACACATGTCCTCGGTTCGATAAAAACCTTGATCCATGAGGTAGACAAATGTTCCTTGGTATCGAGTTGTTCTTTCTATAGGCTGAATCCAACCTCTCCTCTGCTTCTACGAAAGATAATGATTGACTGATGGCTAGCCTAGGGCAGACTAGGTTAATCATCATGAAGACACTCTCCTCAATGGTGTCAGGAGGAGCAGGGATGCAGCATATGCAACCAAAGAGGAGTGGACGCGTGGAATTTGATATCCAATCAGTAGCAAAAAGACCTGGGTAACCTTGCTGACACATGACTAGAGGAAGTATGCATTTAATGAATCCCCTTCCTGATGAGACAGTATTTAAGGCATGAGGGCCGAGAAGTGAAGACATTAAATGCTCCCATACTTGGACATTTAATGCTCTCTAGCCGAGGGAAGCGCATTGAGTACTCAGTAGACCGAGGGGAAAGCGTCAATTACTCGACGCCCCGAGCAGTTAAAGCTGAATGCATTCCCCATTAAAGGAAAGGGGGCACACTGTCCCATCTCTAATGATTGCCTACTAGCTATATTATCAGCAATGATGAGATTTTGAATGTATAAATAGTCTTCAAAAACATATTGCAAGGGTACGCAAGAACTCTTAAAAAGAATCACAGTGCTTTCTTCTTCCCCTCTCTCTCTCAAAGAACTGACTTGATCATCGGAGGGGATACGCCGGAAAACACTCCAGCACCTTTCTAACCTGTTTTTTTGTGTCACAGGATACCCCTACAGTCTTCCAGGACCGGTCAGGCGACCCAACAAACAATTCATCACCAGTCCTTATGACTCATTTGTCCCTCTTAACCTATTTCTTGCTGCCAAAACCCACTTTCGGATGGGTCGAAACTTTGCCGGAGGCGACCAGAGATTCTGAAAGCAAACTTTCCATTTCGTCGAAATTACTGTCTTGTCAAACCACAATTCACCATGGAAGAGATCTGTTATTACTTCTACTGTTATGCAAAAATCAGCGCACACAACTTTCTATATTACTTTAGTCAAGGACAAATCAAGAATTTATTCTCAAGCTGAAAGCCTATGGAACGATTTATTAAATTTTCAGAAAAAAATATATACGAATAACCTCTGCAGTGTTTGTCAGTGAGATGCCGAGACTAGCATTCATATTCTCCAGGATTGTTATTGGGCAAAACTTTCTTGGCACCTTAGTTCTCTTCACAACGTCATTTTCATGCCAGGTTTGAATTCGGAACAGTGGGTAACAGACATACATCATTTCCATAACACAGATGAATTTGTTCTATTTCCCGTCCATTGTTGGTTGATTTGGAAACATCGTAATGATATGGTTCATTCGAGTACTTCGAAAAATCCAACTGTTATTGCAAGAGAAGCTATAGATTATTTAGACAGATTTTTTCCAACAGATAAGTGATGGGCGTTGCAACAGACATCTCTTTCAGCTTCTTGGATCCAATCCCAAGACTGGTTTTTTAAAAGTTAGAATTATGTGGTATTATGTTTACGAAGATTAAACTCTTGAATTAATCACCAAAATATAGTAATTTTTAAACATAATTACCAAAATACGGTATTTTTAAACTTATTTATCAAATTACGGCACTTTTTTAAAATGGATTCAATAATTCCGTTTTATTAGAAACCAGATTCAATAACTATGCTTTTAACCCCTTTTTTTAAAAAAAAAAAATTGGACAGTGATGAAAGCGTGTTTGATAAAAACGCTTTCTATACTTTTTCTGAAAAGTGTGTTTATTAAACACGCTTTTCATACGAAATTGCGCAACTTGTTTTAAAATCACTAAAAATAGAAAGTGTTAAAATCACTATAGGTTTTTCACAGTTGGTTTTACTTGTGCTTCTCTCTCTGTACTTTGTTCTTCTCTCTTTTCGGTTCTTGACGGTGCCTAGGCCAGCCCGAGACCCTATGAGTGTATTAGAAGAGCTTGGCAGAGTGATAAACACCAACCCATGAGAGGCAATCTCATTCAAGAGATTTTAAGGTACTCGATCTCTCTATGCCCATGTCCAAAAAATATTATATATGTTTGTGTGATTGTAGTTTTGTTTCTGATTTATAACATATCTATGGTTAGTGTCATTGGCGGATCCACATAAATTTTAAATAATTTAAAATTTATTAGATATTTGCCCCCACTTAATTTTTTTTTAAAGATTTAAAGATAGTTGTGTTATTTGACAAATATATGAGTCTCACTTATAATTATCAATGAAAGATGATATCAAAAAATTAGGCATTTAAAGATTAACTAATATGTTACGAAATAAGTTAGCACTTTCATTTGTTTTATGTTTATATATCAAATTAAATTTAGGGCTTGTAATCTTCTTTTTTGTTTTATGTTTATATGTTAGAATTAAAAATTAGGGTTTGTAGTCCTCTTTTGTGGTTTATTTTTTAAATGTTGAATTGAAATTAGCGTCTGTAGCTCTCTGTTGTATTTTATTTATTACATGTTGAATTAAAAATATAAAATTGGCGCTTGTAATCATCTCTTATGTTTTATTTTTTATGTATTGAATTGAAATTATGATTTGTAGTCTTGTATTTATTTTTATAAGTTGAAATAAAATTGGGGGTTGTAGTCATCTTCTATGATTTATTTTTTGTATATATTTAATTGATATTTGGGTTTGTAGTTCTCTCTAATATTTTATTTTTATACGTTGAATTGGAATTAGAACTTGTAGTCGTCTCATTTGTTTTATTTTTATTTGTAGAATTGGAATTAAGACTTGTAATCCTCCATTATAATTAGGCTAAATTATTTTGATTTGGTAGTTTGAATAATTTTATTGTGATAAGTTAAATACTTTATATACCTAGGTTTAATTTACTAGAATAATTATAGTTTAAGTTAGTTTCAATTGTTTGTTAAAATTTAATGATGAATATTAAGTTTGTGATTGAACAAATTAATTTTTGAATTAGTTTAAATCCGAACTTGGTAATGTCTCTTCTATTATGTGATATCCCTTATGAATAAGATACACTGTTTCTATTAAAAAAAGTCTTGAGATAATCAATTTGAAATTCAAAGAATATGATATACCTAGTAACACCCAAAATTGTTGTGATTTAAATGGTTGATCATTGGTTTGAATCTTGTATCATTCTCCCTTTTTCAAAAGAATGGTTCAATATTATCTTATTATAGTCTCAGTACTCAAAAACCATGATATTAGAACCTCAAAAGGGGAGAAAATAGTATTGTGATTAGGGATGTTAAAATATGATAGGATTTTTAACAGGACACGAAATTAGAGGGTTGAGTCTTCTTTAAGTTATCAATTTTATAAACGAATAAACCCGACCCGTTATGATCAATAAATAAATTGAGTAGGAAAGAAATTTATTTAAAAAATACTCAATTCAACTTATTTATATATGATGGTGCTCATAAATGTTAACTCAAGTCCAAAACCACAGTCTGTTGACCCAGAGAAGGGATAAAATGGAAATATAAGTTGGAAATGAACGAAACTGCAAGAGAAAAGAATAAAATGTTATATAAGTGGTTCGTTTTAGTCGAAGTATTTAGATCACGTCCATTATAAGAGAATCTCTTAATCTTTTGGGGTGTATATTATTTGAGAAGGTTTTTATAGTGGTTCTTTTGTCTTAGAGCCTTTACAAGAGATGCTTAGAGGATACACGTTTATCTGTGTGATTCACATGTAGACAATGAGGAAGATAATGATCGTGTGTGTGTCGTAGGGAAATAGTGTCATATTTATACATGTAATCCTTCCAGAGTTTCTTGTGGCTCATTCTTTTTTTTTTTGCTGATTCTATGGGCTCTTCTACTTTTGTTTTATAGTGACCTCTGTCATATGACGCCACTATATCTACAGTCTTTGAGCGATTACGCGCACTAATATTTTTTGCGATAGAGAGTGTGTGTTCGTTATAGATGTCAGAAACGGTCTCTCTATCCTTTGGACACGTGGCACGACAAAAATGATTCAGAATCGATAAAGGGGCCGAGCTCCTTGATCCGGAGCTAACCTCGTGCTAGGCTGGATTGGGGTTGGGACTTCAAGCCTTTAGATATTGTTCGACTTCATCCTTTGAACGCAATCTATTCTAATCTTAGAATGGACAAGTTGTAGGTGAACGATTTGGAGCACTCTGCAAATAGAGGTCTTTTGAACTTATTAAACTCTTGAGTAGGACGAGTCATACCTAAAATTCATCATTATCAATATATATTAATTATATATAATTTATGCACAACATAAATTTAATATAATATAATTCAACGCAAATTAATAAAAGAGTTGAAATAATTTTTTACGCAAAACTTATTAAAATTCGACGCCAAGTCGCCAACGACTCTCGCCTCATTGGATAGCATATACCGACGAAATTCTGACTTGTGAGAAGGTGAGTTCCACAGTACGATTGATTAACGGCACAGAATCGCCCAGCGCGCCAGTGAGGCTGCAATGATTGAAATGGAAAGACACGCGATCGTCTGGCAAGTTAACACGTGTCATTGATGGGCCCATATCACGGGTAGTCCTGACACGGACCATTATGCCGTGACCCCGCCATTTTTAATGATCTCAACAACTGGAAACGGCCATCTCGTTCTGTCTTGAAGAGGGAAGTTTCGTCCTAACGGCGTTTAACAATGGGCCATGGATATCCAAAATTAAAGAGTTTTTTTTTTTGGCAGAAGGAGAGCCGCCGCGGGGGGGGGGGGGGGGGGGGGGGGGGGGGGGGGGGGGGGAGAGGAGAAGACGTGTACTGATATTCTTGAGTCTTCAACTTACCGACATATATTTCTTAACTTTCTAAATTACCGACCTATTTTTCATGACTTTTCAACTTGAGAATGACTATGACACCTCTTTTAATATTATATTCAAAATTACAGTATTTAAAAATTAAGTTATAATTGTTTAAGGATTTAATTTATAATTAAAATAGTCTTAGTTACAAATTAAAATATTATAATTGATTACAAAAGATTTTGATCAATTACAAAAAAAAATCAAGTCACAACAAAGTAAAATTAGTCATGATTGATTGATTTATATATATCGAAAATAATTGTAATGGTCAATTTCATATCATAATTTGATATTCAGCATAGTATTTTTTTGGTAGGAAATTATTTTATTTTATTTTTATGAAGATAGTCATTTCCTTGTAACATTTATATTACTTTTATGGTTCTTTTGGTATGAATGATGGAAAGAAAGAAAACTTTTCACTCCCTCATACTTTTCTTTGGGACCAAACAATGAAAACTTTTTTCCCTCCCTTCCATTTTCCCTCCTTCACTTTCTTTCCACCCATTTTTTCTTCATACCAAACACACTATTATAGTCCGTTTGGTACGAAGAATGAAAAGAAGGAATGAAGAAAAAGTGAAATGAATACACTTTCCATCCATAAAGGAAAGAAAGTTATTTTTCCTCCTTTTTGTTTGGTAAGAGGGATGAAAAATATAAGGGATATATTTTTCATCGTTTGGTATAGATGAAAAATGAAAGGAAAGAAAAACCATGCATACCCAATTTTACAATTCTACCCTTTAAATATATGAAGTCATTTTGTGTGTTTTTTGTGTGATAGTAAAAAAATAATTAGCAAAAGAAATTTTTGTTTTTTTGAAAAAATAGAAAAAAATTTATAGATTGAAACCAATTATTACAAGAAGCAACAGTACACAAGAATCAAACAATGAAAAAATTACAAAAAAACCTCCTAATGTTATACTCCTTCAAGACTCCTTAGAAGTTAGAATCACTTCTAAGGCTTCAGACTGCCTGCACGGAAATAGGCCATTAAAAATAATGTACCTCTTTTTTTTTTTAGAATCAAAAACAGAAACTATTTAAACAAAAAATCAGTAACTGTTTTAACAAAAAAAAAAGAAAAAACTGTTACAGCTAAGCACCTCCCATAATTCTATTACAAGTATCTGTTTCACAATAGAAATTATGTTACAACACATCAGACAAAACAGTTAAAAATCTTCTTGTACTGTTGCTGCATTTCCTGAGTTCAACTGACCACCAACTTGAGTCATTAAAGAGGTAATTACCTCTGTTAACAACCCTTTTCAATCTGGCAATAGGCAGCAAAAAAGAGTTAGTGTACCTCTATTAACAACCTTCTTCAATCTTGTTGTAGGCAGCGAACTCTGATCCCTTTGCAAAACAGCCGCCCAGCAAGTGGAAGAACATAACTGACTTAAAAGTCAGTATATCTCCCAGTTTGAACAGCAAAGGATGCCAAAAAATCAGCAATTCCATTAGCTTTTGCACCTGTAAAATGCCAAATAAACACCGAATCTTCTCCATAACAATCTGCAGTCTCCATGGAACTTCTGCCTGACCCAACACCATCTGCACTAATGTTTGAGAATCAGATTCAATTAGGATCTGATGCTCTGCCCATCCATACTACAGAATGAAATTAAGACCATCCAACAAAGCCATGCATTCAACTTTCATATTAGAAAGATTGTGCAGCCATAATCTCACATACAAAGGCCAAAACGTGCCTACTCATATTCCATTTTAAAAAATGCATAAATCATTGCTCCTCTACTTGGCACCTGCATTTTTGTACTGATGTTGTAAACCAAATAGGCAAACAAAAAAATTGAAAGACAATTATCCATGCAAATATACAACACAAAGTGCCAAAATGGGAAATTTTGGCACTGTACGCACTTTACATATTTCGTTTTAGGTGGCTACATGAAATCTTCTTACAAAAAGTCACCAACTACATTATAAGGTTCATGCTTATGCTAATATGAGCACAAAAAAGTCTGATTATCAACATGTACCATCCAAAATGCATACATATAGTAAGTAGATGCACATCTCAAAAGCTGTCTAGATCACTTAGTTGTTCAAGAACCAGTTGTTTCACTCATCAATTTACTCAAAAGCTCCAAATGATGGTTTGATGGGACAGCAAAAAATGCTCTCATGTTTGCTTGGTTCTTAATCAAGAATAGGAATGCATCAAGCTGAAGTGAGTTTGGAACTCCAATTTCTACCAATTCAGCAAATACATCCTCCTCAGGATAACAATGTGGTCTAGCTCTCTCTGCAATAACTATTCCCTCCTTGATTGCCTGTGCCACATTATTAATTCCACTATTTATGAGTTCAGTATGTCTATCCATCACATCTAACATACTTGCCTTTCGTTTGGAACTTTTGGTTGTGGTAACATTTTGAGAGCTTACTTGAAAAGGTGTAGAAGGCGAAGTTGGTTCAAAGTTCAAGCTAAATTCATCAACGCTATCATTAAGATCAATTAAATTAGCATTTCCCTCTCTTTCCCATTGACAAACTTTTTTTTTTGCACTCACGACTCCTTCCCTTGTAGCCCTGTCCTTTGCAAAGAGATCATATAGCTTGTCGTAGTGGCAAATTTTATTATGCCTCCATTGTGCGGCACTTGGTTTACACTATAACAAAAATCAAATGCATATATGAGAAAAACAATAACAAATGCATATATGAGAAAAAACAATAGCAAACATAGAAAATTTATATATCTACAACCATATTAAAATTACTAAATGGTTAATAATATACTTGTATAAGCCCTTTCCACACTTCATTCTCCACTTCCCATAGTTGTGTCTCCAGATTCCATGCAAACCCACTCATTGTTAAGCCATTGAAAATTTCATGACATGCAAAAAAATTATTCTTGAGAGTTTTCATGCGATTTTTCACATGGTCCTTCACAAATGGAAATTTAAGCTTTTCATTAAGTCTTACACTCTCTCTTTCTCCACTATTTTGGGAAAATTGATTGATCCACGTACGAGGTGTGGCATGACATTCCAATCAAGTAGATATATGAACCAAATAGTAAACAACTTGAACCGCAGCCATACGTCACCTATGTTCCCAACTATTTAAAATTTGCATAAGATTATCCTCCCAAATATCTTCCCCATTTTCTTCCCAACTCTCTTCCCTATCCATATACTAAATGCATGGTAACAAAACAACAATTAGTCAGCATGAATTCATAATATCTCACAATTCTATTGTAAGGTTTAAAATTGTAGAAAAAATTGGTTAAAAGACTTGTACTAGAGAGTGTATGAATTTAACTGATTCGATCATCTGCATTGAATTGAGATACAAAATTTGAAAATAGTTTTGGGATGCACATCATTATTATTGTGGTTGCGATTACAGTTTTTGTTGATTGAAATGAAGGAATTAGAAAGAAAATTTTGATGACAAAAGAGAAACTCTAAGTATTTTTTGTAGGCAATTTGGTAGTCCAGAAATCAATTTTTAATTATCTCATTTCGGCAATTGTCCAACATGTTTTAGTTATCAATTGGGCAAGGCTTTGTATATCAATTGTCTTTTTCTTTCTCCAAGACTGGGACCTCAAAAAGCCCAAAGAAACCAGTCACCAAGAAAGTGCACCATAACAATGAAAAAGTACCAGTTAATCTAAGAATACCAAAAACCAATTGCTTTAGAAAAGTTAGTATGGATAAACTAGGCATGAACGCAAACCAATTGCAATTTTCTTTTCAAAAATCCAGTAAGCCTTCTCAACAAAACCATAGATAATAGTAAACCAACAGAAACAAAAAATTTACTTGAAACCTCTAGGAAGGTAATAGCCATGAACTTCACAAATCAATACCCAATTAATTAATAGCCATAAACTTCACAAATCAGCCCATCACAATTTCAACAAATCACATAATTACTTGAAACTTCCAGTAAGGTACCAATAATGTCAAAGACTCAAATCCAAACCGACTACCCAAAGTATGTAATATTATAGTTTAATCTAACATTTGATAAATCAGTAGACGAAAATCCAGTTTGAAGACCGTTGGTTTTGCCGATTGAGTTCGTCGTCTCGTTGCCGTTGTCTGAGAAGGGTGTGTCGTTGCCCATGGTCTATGAGAAGTGGGTTTTGTTTGCTGTTTTGAGAAACGGGTTTTATTAGAATGTAACAAAAGGAAAAAAATGTAAAATAAACATTCAAAAATCAAATTCTTTTGGCTTCTTCTCATTTTCCGCCCATTTTTGGGGTGAACATAAACTGTGGGCGGGAAGGAAACTCCCTCCTTCCAATTTCCTTTCCATTACTCTTTCTTTACATACCAAACAATGGAAAGCTTTTCCATCCACCCCGTTTTCCTTCCCCCATTTTCCATCAAAACAAAAAGACTGTTAGTTTCTTGGGATGGAGGCAACACGTAACATTTGTCTTGTATTTCCCTCCAAGATGCTGGTAACTCTGAAATTTATGTGAGTACTCCAATGAATCCATAGTGAATCTCTAATTAGATACTGAAAAAATCTATGTAGATAAACATCCTTGAGTTATAGGATAGTATTATGATACCGAAAAATTTATCATGCATTTAAATTATTTAGAGTCTTTGACATTTTTTTTATTTATCTTTAATCTTTGATTCTGAAAATAATAGATTAAAGTGAAATAAGAAAATAAATAATTTATCTACATGTCAAAATTTTATTAAAATAAAAAATATAATAAAATAATAAAAAATTATTTTTCAAAAAAATCGGGATTACATTGTTGGTTAGCGGAGTGGATGAGAGTGTCGGTTGTCGGCAAAAAGAATTTGACTTTTCTCATTTTGTATCTTGAAAGATTTTAAAAATTTTAATTTGTACATTAAAAAATTAAATTTCTCATAATACACCCTCAATTTATCAAAAGTATTTCAATGTTGTCCTTCTGTTAACTTCAATTATGTTTTTTTTTGGTCAAAAGTAAACCCATTGAAACTAACAAAAAAATAAAAAAAAACCTAACATAAATACTACATTTCAATACTTTTGATACATTGAAGGTGTAATATAAAAAAAAAATTAAACTTTAAGGCTATAAAATAAAAAACTTTAAATTTTTTAGAGTACAAAGTGAAATTCACCCAAAAGAATTTCAATAATCCATGGCTCGGTGGACTTGTTATAAGCTATAAGTTAATCGAATATCTAAAAATACTATTTTTTGTACTCAGTTTTTTAATAATAAAAATAAAAGATAATTTAAATGACCACATTTTGTATCACCAATGAGGACTCCAATCTCAAGGTTACATCTAACCTTTCTTTTGTTGGAAGGAATATCATCTCAATTGCATACATTTGATAATCGGGACGTCGTATCTTACAATTCACATCTGTCAGGAAAGTTCAACTGTCATATAAACGTGGAGATTTGTGCAGGAATGAGGTGTGTCAAATACATCCACAAGTACATTTACAAAGGTTATGACCACACAACTATGGTTTTAGAGGGACCAGATGAAAACAATGAGATAAAGCAAGATGCAAGGTATATTGGACCGACAGAGGTTGCATGGCAGCTCTTCGATTATCCTCTCTATGAAGAAATTCCTTCAGTTGTACGGCTAGATCTACATTTACCTAGGATGCATCAAGTTGTTTACGATCATGCTAAAATACTTGAAACAATTAGACTTGGGTCTAGGAGTCAAACTACAACTTTGACTGAATTCTTTGACTATTGTTCTTCAAATGATGTTGCACGTGCCCACACATACTAAGAATTTCTCCAACATTTTGTTTAGAACAAAGGTCGAAAGATTTGGACTTCGAGGCAAAACGGGTTTTCAATTGGCAGATTATACTTTGCTACGCCCAATTCTGGGGAGCGATTTTGCCTTCTGTTGCTATTAACAGTTGTTAGAGGACCGCGGTCTTTTAATGGTCTACGCCCGATCAATGGTGTGTTTCATGATAGTTTCAAATCAGCATGTGTAGCTATGGGACTCTTGGAAGATGATGTAGAGTGGGTACAATGCCTCCAGGAGGCTTCAACCATGAGTACAAAATACCAGTTACTAAGATTATTCTGCATCATTCTGGTAGAATGCTCTCCAATATAGTCATGCACTTTGTGGAATCAATTCTCTGTCCATATATGTGATGATCTTCATCACAAGCTACAAACATCTTTTAGCATATGCGATCCAACGCAACCTCAAATCGAAGATTACGGTTTATATTTGATTGAACAGTTGCTACAAAAATTTGGATGACTTCCCACCTATGCCACGCCCCACTGAAAATTGGAGTTATGTTTCAGGTAATATATTGTTGATCGACCATATACACCTATGTAACGAAGCAAATCAATTGAATGACCTTTTGAATATTAATGTTTTAAATGATGCTCAACGTGCGGCTTATGATGCTATCACTATCTCCGTTGCTGAAAATCAGGGCAAAATATTTTTTCTCAGTGGAAGTGCAGGAATAGGCAAAACCTTTTTGTACAACACCATCACCACTAAAATACGCAACGAGGGTCATATCGTCATTACAGTTGTTTCATCAAGAATTGTTTCGTTGTTGTTGTTAGGTGGTCGGACAACTCATTTCACATTCTGCATTCC